TTTGAAACCAATCTTCTAAATTTTCTTCATCAAGAATTTCGAAACCTTAGATTTCTTTTGCTTGTTCGAGAATACTGTTATCATATTTTTCTTGAACATCTGAAGAGGATTGTTCATCAAGCGGTATGATCTTTCTCCAAGATCGTGATAACGTAGACGATTTTACCTTTGACCATGCTGCTGATATTCCATATACTGCAATCCAATAACGAATATTGCTTCCAAAAATTTTGTAGTGTTATAACTTCATGAATCAAATTTTTTTTATCTTGAAAATGCTTCTCTTTATATTTTTTGTGTGACTCCGGAATGAGCACGGATAATCGAGAGTGTACTGTATTTTGTTGTTTGAATAATATATTATTTTCATCAAATTCTGTCTTCTATTTTAAGTTTATGTTTCAATTTGTTTATAAAACAATAACAAAGATATAAATTTATTTTATGTGGCATAAATAATTATTATAATCTTACTCTCTTCTCTTTTGCAATTACAAAGATTGAAAAGAGAAAAATTAATGTACCATTGCAGTTTTGCTTATGTCAAGGAGAAATTATTTAATCAAATTATCTGTCCTTAGATATTAAAAATTCCTAATGATACTTAGATTATAATTCTTTATGATTGCCTTGATTATTTTTTTATTTTTTTTTATTTGACTATTCGATCATACTAATTACATCTGGTTTTCCTAACCATTACATTGAATTTTTGTATTTTCTCTTGTTTTATTATTAAAAAAATTAAAATATATCAATTAATTAACTTCTCGTATAACTATAGGTCATTGATAACACATCGATTCTTAATGATAAGGTGAAGGTTTTAGCGGATTTGATAAAGGAATCTAAACATGTTGTAGTTCACACTGGTGCAGGCATAAGTACCTCAGCTGGAATTCCAGATTTTAGGTAATCATATGTTTCATTTTTAAATTTTTTAAGAAAGAATATGGATTATTTATTAAAAGAATAGTGTTGGGAAACTGGACAAGCAGTCTGTGTCCAAATTATCAGAATCAACGATAATTTAATTAAAAATTTGACTGATGCAATTGGGAAATGAAAAAGACACTTAAAAAAAAAAAACTTATTCTTTTATTATGCTTCTATATAAATTATATATTCTTTTATTAAAATTCTATCTTGTATAGTTTTTCACAAAATGGATGTTTGCATTTTTTGATCAGGTATTTCCCCAGGGGTGGTATTCTGAGCTTGAGTCGACCATCGATTTGAGTTTTTGGAAGCCGCACCAGGGGGCACTTTACCTGATATTCTACTTTCCCCTCCCATTGCTCGATTTTTGGTATTCCAAGCAAGTTTTAGTGGATCTTGAGGGCTTTTTTCGGTCGATGCAAAAACCACTGGTATTTTCAGTATAGTAATGGCGAGCGCATGGTTAGTAAATATTTTACACGGCTAAGTCCTCGGCAGAGACTGATGTATATATATGCTTTTAGTCTACATGATGATGTATTTTATGATTTTTTCGATTAACGGAAAATCTTGTTCAGTATTTATGCGTGGAACTAACAGAGGACTTGGAAAAAGAAGCAAGGCGACAAAACGTGATTTCAGTTGAAACATAAGTTAAAGTTAATTTATTTTCAATAACATAAGCACATTTCGCTTTTTAAAAAAATTAAAAAAAATGAATTTAATTTTTCTTAAACACTGTTGTCAAATTTTATATTCAAATCAAATATACAGTGGTTCTAATATTGCATAAAAACTGAAAATGGGATATAAACAAATACTTAAGTGAATAATAAAGTATTTTAAAACTATACTGTAATTCACTATACTTAAAATCTTTGAATAATCTTTTTTAACATAAAACTAATATTGCTGAACATGGTAACTGCAATATGAAGTACATAAATTGCTTGACAAATTAATAACTAAATATTTCGAATCTCTCAAAGTGAATTTTTTCTTATAGCTAAAATTTTATAAAAGTTTTGTTAAAGAGAGTNGAAAAGATTCGTCGCACAACGTAAAGCAGAAGTTAAGTAATTAGTTTAAAATTATAAATAAACACATAATTTGTTTTAAAGTTAATTTAATTTCTAGAAGCATTATAAACATTTACAAAATGAAATACACATCTTTTTGTTTCATATGGTATATTTATTTGTATTTTTCAATGTATGAATTTTTTATGGTTTGCCATATACAAATAATTATAAATTTTTATCTTCATTATTCACTTTGCTTTTGAAATAACAGAAATGCTCATTAGATTTAATGAATAATTATGTACAAATCAACATATCAAGAACAACCAATATTTACAATATGCATTCACATTTCATTAATATGAATAATTATATGTTCATTTCATAATTTAATTTTCTTTTGTAATTATACCAATTACAGAACTTACCAAATTTTTATCAAATAAAATATCAGCAAACTAAACTAAGATTCATAAATATTAAAAAAAATAAATTTTTGGTACACATTAAACTGTAAATTATATATTAAATATCAAGTGTCCTGAAAATTTCATGAAACTAAAATTTAAAATATCAAATGTCTCTCATTATTTCTTATTATCGAAATATTCCTATTCTATCTGTCATAAGGAAGCAGTGAATATTTGAGTCATTAGATAAAATGTTTTGACTAACAACTGAAATTCTAAATGATGATCTTTTTTTTTTTCTGTCAAGTTCTGGGTTTAGTATTCGAAATTTTATTTTTTAAAAAATAGATTTTTTTGAAACAGGTATAGTAGATTAAAACGGGAACAGACAACAATTGAGATCTTAATATAAAATTGGTCAATTATTATAAATATTAATTTGGTAATTCTCTTAACATACTTAATACAGATTAATTTTTTTTAACTGAAAACTGAAAATTTTTTTAATATTCTTTGTCTAAAAAATCATTTTCATTTTGAAATATTGGATATTTGTAGTATAGATCCATTGATGTATTTTAACAGACGCTGAAGGGCTTACAATCCAAATAAATTATGCAATAAGTTTTATATGTGTATGCGTATGCATATTACATATAATTTGTTTCAATGATAAGTATTATAATAAAATTTAATCATTTTTTCATGTTTCATTTATTTTTCATAATTTTATATGCAAAATTCAGATTAATGAAGTAAGTCATACTTCATATAATTTATATATAAGTTACTAAGTCAAATTTAAAAACAATAAGATGATAATTTCAAAGAACAGTTTGATTTGATAATTACAAAGAAAATCGATAGGAAATGATAAATTGTGAAAGAACCCACTTTGTGGGTACAAAGATTGATTTTTTCAAGTGGGCCCAATCTGAAAAAAAAAAAAAAAAAAAAAACACTGGGTTGTTCTGGGCTGCACTCACCTTTGCGAATCCTGAAAGAAGGCAACAATAAGCATGCAATAATTTATTATTCGAGTGCTAGATGGTAACCATTTGGTGTTGGATTTTACAAACAGTGTATTGTTTGCAATAAAATAGAATTTCTACAAATAAATAGTGGAAAAATAATTAGAAAAGAAAATTTCCCAAATCAAAGAGTATATATATATATATATGTATTAAAAAAAAATTATAACTTCTAAATTACATTCTTATTATTGAGATACCATTTTAGTAATTTTAGTGGAAAAAAAAAATTTATCGGAATCATAGTTAAAGTTAAATTTATATTTTTTATTTTGTAGAAGTGTGAATTTGTATTTCTTAATTTTATAATCTTGGTAATTTTGCAAAACTTGGTTATGGTATGTTAAGCCATGTATGTTTAGTAATTAAAACAAAACTATTCTTTAAGAGATAATTACCATAATAAAAATTTTTCAGAAAGGAAAAAGTTGCATTGGAAAAAATTTATAGTACTTAAATTCACGGCTAAATTTTTTTTTTACCAATAACAAGTTTTGGATAATTTCACACATTAAAGATAGCAAAATTATTTGAGAACATTTCTTCTGGCATATTCACTGTTCGTACCTACTCTATATATGGCAATGATAATAAGAAAATCATCACTATGCACACTACAAATCACAATCATCACTATTACATGAAAATATTTTATCTGCAAATATTAGCTTCAACAATATGATTAAATATTTTATAGATGAAATTTTGTTTTTCGTGAATTATTCTGCCTCACATACATGTAAAGCTTTAAGCCAGAAATTTTAGCATTATTGACGCTTTGAAACTCTTATTACTTTTGGTTTTACAAACATATAAAAACTATGAGCATAATTTAAAATAAAATTGGAAAAATTATGATATAACAACAGCAGTCTCACAAATAGCAATTAACTAATTCATACCAATTTAAAACATCTCAACTAAAAAATAACAGAAATTTTTGCAATACATAAATAAATCAAAATGGCAGGAAATCTTTCGTAGTGTGTTAAATATATAACTGAATAATCCGTAACAGCTATCACATGCATTATTTAATTTATAAACATATAAGTGAGATATATACATCTTAAAATATTACGAAACATGCATCTGTTGCTGCACAGTTATAATATTTTACATCAAGATGGAATATTAATTTGTGATAAAGAATTAAATTTCAGAAAAAATATTAAGAAAATCAGTAAATACAAAAAATAATAATACTTACAATATCTAAATCAACTCCACTAACAAGCCGCTTTGTTCCAAATTTCTTATCAGTGTCAACAAAATATTGATCTACAAAAAATTAAATGTTTTATTTAACATTTAAAGTCAGGATTTATCAAGATAGCTCTAATTAGTAAACATATTATGGAAATATAAGCAAATAAATTAGAGTTTCGAGCTGAAACGGACAAGAAAAAAAAGGGTATATCAGCATACTTAACATTGCGAAATAGAGTAAAATCATTTGATGTTGAGGTTATGTGATAGTTAAACACCGACAGAGATTTAGCATTATTAAAAGTTATTATTCCCACTTTTGTTGTTAGTTAACTATTTTTGTACTAACATTAGAAAGAATTGCTGTATACTTAAAAAGACTGAAAGGGCCAGTTTGGCCCTTCCCAGATTCTTTGTTTTTATATCACATAGACACCCAGAATCTTAAAACATAATCATAATTAATTTCATGAAAACAGATAACAGAAATGATTATTAAAATTCTATGGTATTTTATTCGATTTGGTGCATGAAAATATTTGATTCAATGGAACATTGGTTTTTAAAGTATACATTAGTTTCTTAGATAATTGAGTCTTTTTTTCAAAAAATGCATACAAAAGAGCATCTTATACCCAAAACTACCTGAGGTAATGGGAACCAACAAATATACCTAAGGGGACACCCTATCATTCTAGGTATAATACACATAAGAATGATTAAATATAAGCATTAAAAGTGGATCAAATTATGAAAAGTAAGAAATACTCCAAACATTTAATAAGTTATTTTTCAAATAACAGAGTAACAAAACTAGCATAACTATGGTGGTACTAGCAGAACTACAACTGGATAGCAAATGAAATTTTCAATGTACCAGGGGTGATTGTGAGCCCAAGTCAAAATTCCGGAAAATTTCTTGAGTAAGAAAGAAAAAAAAAAATTTTTAAATCGAAAAATTAGAAAAAAAATTTAAACAAGGTTTTTTCCTTTTTCTCAATACTTCTTTCTTAGTTTACTTAAAATAAATTTAAAATTTTACACATACCTATACTATTTACACATACCAATGATGACTTGGAGAAGTAATTAAAATTTACAAACATTACTTTCTTTGTTGAGTTTATGATTATAATAACTATTTACTGATAAAAAAATGAATATTAATCTTGAATATAAGCTTACAAAGTATCTGGCTCGCCCTTACGAACAAATAAAATAAACTGAGTTTCTAAGTTCCACCTTTGAAAATTTGATTTCCGGAAACCTTTGTGATCAATGATTTTTAAAACATCTTAACCTTCGATCTCCGGAAACTTCCGGATCACGGTCAGCGAAAAATCCAGAAATCCGGAGCACAATCAGCCCTGATATACCTCAACAATCCATTTTAGCTCAGTTCCAACTTATAGAATTTATATTCCAAGCACATAAATTTTTTTTCTCCAAATATTAGTTGAAATTATTAATTAAATAAAATATATATATAAGAGCTATTACCTAATTTAATATCTTTTAAAGTAGAACTGTCCATTCTCTTCTTCCAGGTTTCTTCACAGAAGTAAGCCTCTGATAAAAATGTACGGCTTGCTACAAATAAATAAATACATAAATTTCCCATAATAAACTGAATGATTTGCAAATATATGAAGTCGTCTTGATTCAATTTAATATTGAAAAGAATCATCTAATTAAAATGTAATAATACATTAAAAGTGTTCTACACAGCTTGAGCTCTTTTGTAATTAAGTTACAGCATTTGCATCAATGTTTTGTTTTAATTAGCACAGTATTACTCTTATATTAACAGACAATTCATTCCTTACAAAAATGTTTTTACATTGTCAATAACAATTAAAAAAGCACTTAAAAATGTTAGCATAACAAATGTTAACCTATCAAAAATATTTTAAACTAGCAGCATGCAACTTTACAATGACAAAATATAAAAGTTAGCCCAGAGTTTAATTGATTTTTTAAAAAAAAATAATTTTATTCAATCAGCATTTAGTTGATTTTTCTTTTTTAAATTCATGATTGAAACTATTTTTTGTTTATATATTTTATTGGAAAATAAGTAGCTCAGAATATCAACTAAATTTTAAAAAAAGTAATTAACAACTAAACTAAAGCTGAAAAATTTTATTTTGAATTCTTTTACATGAAAATAACATATACATAATTCCCTTTTCAGAGATATTTGTTCTATCTTACCCTNTAAAAGTTCCGTCCATTATCCAGAAAGTAGATTCTTATAAAAATTTCAAATTCTCATCGGTAGTTAAAAATTAGAATTCTCTCACCATCCACTAGAATATCCTTTGCAAATCTAATGCCATTTGTTGTTATCCTATATTCATTAGGCAAAGTAAACTGCTCTAGAGTTTGTGGCTCAGCAAGTCGTTCCACTCTTCTAACTCTTTTGATTTTCTGGCGCAGAGCATCATTAGGAGGCATACATGGAAGGATTTCCCTCGCAACTCCTGCTTTGGCATTTTGTATCAGTTCAGCTGGTTGGTCATTTGTTATTTTGGCCAAGTCTTTTATGTCCGCACAAACTTACATTACTGGACCTCTATTTGCTTTAGCTGAATGATTATGCTTTAGAATATTATGTTGGTTCAAAATATGTTGACCGTTTATTAATGTTGCTACAGCCCTTACATGACATAAACGATCATCACAATTCCAGTAATATCTATCATCTCGATTTTGATCTTTATTAAAAATGAATCCATCAACAACAAAGAAGTCTTATTTTGGGGGGTTTTAAGAACTTCATAAACTATTAACAAATTTCGTATTGCTTCAGGTGGCTGATGGGCATTCATTCAAAAAATATTATTCGAATTTTTAAAACGACAAGAAAAGATGAAGAATAAAAGAAACTTTTGATGACCTGACAAGTTGTGTTACTAATCGTTATACGAGAATGTTTCACGAAGAATTCTTCTGAATAAAATAGAAAAGGAAATGATAAAAAAAAATCTTAAAATGACAGGAGCCCAAAAGTTTTCGAAAAAAAATTCTCGTAGGCGCCAAAATATTCACGAAATCTGTGGATGAAATTAAAATGATACTACGTCGTGTAATGTTCCGCCACAAGAAAATAGTTCATATTAGAGTTTAAAATCTATTAAAAAAATGTAACAAACTTTTGCAAATGATAATAATAACAATTATTAAGAATTTAATCAGAAGAAACACAAATCTTTTAAATTAATCTGATAGAAAATGCACGTTCGTAAGAATAAAACGAAAAACAATCTTGGCAAACATATCGCCAAATATTGTTCTTGGACAATTTTGTTGTAACCCTCATTCTAGTCTCTCCGTCTGCTATGCAATAGGAGAGATAGGGTAGGGTGGGACCACACCTACCAAATAGTCATCACTTTAGCATATTTTAATAACTTTTAATTCATGATATTTTGTTTGATTTGATTCTAAACGTCGTTTGATTGTTAATATCAGACTAGATCCACAGTGGGTTATTAACAACGGTTAAAGAATGATGCTTTGTAATTATCTGAGGACAATCCTTGCATATTGCTCGATTGCAATTTGGATATTAAAAAAGCAAATGTTGGTACATCAAAGAATATCGTTTAAACTCTACCCAACTAAATATCAATTTATTTTTAAAAAAAAAAATAAAGTTAAAAAACAATTTTCAGCTCGAAAATCATTTCAATATCAATTAATATCTGATTCAATATTTATTTGATAAGAGAAATCACGGAGAAATGAAAAATTCTGTCTTTTTTTCCCCTGCACTTTTCTTTTTTCTTTAACTTGTTATATCAAGAAGCAGTGACAGTAATTATAGTAATTGCTTTGTGGGTTTAATCTATAAGATATAATCTTCAAAATTATAACAAAAACACAATCTTAGAAACATATGCGAATAAAATACCACTAAACTTCCAATTGAACTGAGGATCAGTCTTTTCAACGTAACGTAGTACAGCAAAAGGAATAAACAATTTCAAATTAAAAAAAACATATTTTCTGACTATTGCAATGTAGGACACAAAGTTTATTTAAAGCAAAGTTTTAAAAAATTGAACCCGCAAAAATGTACTAAATTACGAAGAAAGGCTGATGACGTAACGACTTTGTCGAAGTAAATACCCTGTCGACGAAATGATCCTGTCGACGAAATGACGTATAAATAGAAAAACATTAAATACGATTAGCAGATTTAATTACAATGAGAAAACAATGGTGGAGAATCTCACGACTGTTGCTAACAATCTTTAGCAACAAAATAGGATAAATTATGGTATTGAAAACGTGTAATCCTCTCATAATAGGTCTCTTCTGTACTTTAAAAAAGAAATGTAATTTTTATTCCGCTTTGCATACAAACTTTATGTACATATATATGCATAGAAATATTTTACGTTTTTCAGAAAAAATGAACTAACGTATACAAAACCTACACAGCAGCCAGTGTTTACAAATATTAGAAGACAATAATCGTTTTAAGATACCAGAACTCTGTATTTTATTCATGGTCTATTATTTTGGTTCGATAATTGAACAAATATAGAATTTAAAAGAGTTTGAAAAAAATGTAACTAATGTCCGGCTCTGAAGCACATTTTCACTCCAATCCCAATATTTGTTTACAAAATATTGCGAGCAGAGTTGAGTTGAGAGCTTTCTGTTTTTCTTTCTCTGAAACATTAGGTTCATCTACAAATTATGATCTCTAGTAAATACACCAGAACCCTAAAACGAGTTTTCGTTCTTTTAATATTGAAAACCTTGTTGACTAGTCAAACGCAAAGTTCATAAAATTCGGAATAAATCTAAGGAAATTTTTTTTAAACGACATCGGTCTGTAAACAAATTTACTCAAATTATTCAGGAAAGATGTCTTGTAATTATGCTGATGGCTTGTCTAAATATGAAGATAAAGGAATATGTGGATTAAAAGAGGTCTTTTTTGCTCTTTTATTCATATTATATTTATGTGGCCGTATAGATCATCATAAATTTGATCGAGATGTATTATATGTGTTTATGTTTTTGTTTTGCATTTGAAATGTGTTTCTTCATGGCACTTGTTTTTTCATAGTTATATTTAATTTTTTTTATGTCATGAATTATTTAATTAATATGCATTGTTTTAGTTATAATTTCTCCTGAAAGTTTTCATCTTTTATGTTCTTTTACAGACACCTACACATATATGTGTTTGTGTGACTGATATCTTAGATACCTGTGGGAAAACATAAATGATGGAAGCTTGTGATTTGATTGTAAAATGCATTTTGTCCTTTAATATTAAATCATAAAGTGAAACTAATTATTAAAACCTTCATTATACCTATAACGTTCAGAAAACTAATAGTATTCCCTATGCTATGAATTTTATCATTAATGTAACAAAAGTCCTAATGGTTCAAATACAATATTAAGAAAAAGTTTAAGCAAAGCACTTTATAAACGAAAATAAAGGATTACCGTGCTATCAAATTCTAAATAAAACTATTACTATGTGTAGTACCAGTGTATAAGTCGACTTTTCAACCCATCAAAGTTTTACAAAAATCAAAGGGTAGACTTATACACCATGAATAAAGTTGAACATTCATTGATCGTGACACATTGATCCATTATAAACAAAGAAATAGATATGGATAACTCTATATCAATTTACAGGAAGAGTTCCGTATCGTGATCTGTGGCAGAATAATCGCTTAGTCTTGGTAACTTCTGGGCAGCACCGCTGAGAAACTTTAAAAATAAAAAAAATCACGGAAAGGGACCTAAGGCGTGCTCCTAGCCACTCCTAAGCAAACATCTACATGTTTTTTTTTATTTTTTTAATTGCAAGTTTAAAATCTATTTGGCAGCTTGACCATTGTAGTTAGCTGGACAAATTAACCCTTACAAAAACTGTTTTTAATATGTTACTTGCAATTAATTTTGGATTTTTTCTCATCATATTTTCTAAGTGAAAAAAAAGTGTTTTAGGAACAATACTTTCAGTTATATTCAGAAAAAAATAATGAATAAGAAAAGTTATGAGAATTTGTTCAAGAGTATTTCAAAAAATTTATATATATATCTATTTTTTTTTTTGTTTCTAATGGCAGGCCAATTTAAAAGAACAAAAAGGATAAAATAACAAGAAAAACAAAACAAAAAGAGATAAATAGAATAGAATGCATAGTGACATGCTTAGTCTATACGGGCCCTAGCATCCCAGTAACATCCACACACAGTAGTGGAGATGAGCGCAGGACAGACAGAAATATGGGGCAGATCCATGTCCTCCCCAAGGCAATAGAGCTTGCATTTAGGACAATCAAAAATTTTTATACTAAAAAGGTGTTTGGCCAGACAGTCATGGCCCATTACAAGTCTAAAGAGAGCAACTGCCTTAAACCTGGGCTGATTTGGGATAGTTAAAATATGGTTGAACCAGGTTTTGTGTATATTGCTTGTACGGAAATTCTCTGAGAGCATGTTCCGGAATTGGTTTCGGACCAGCAATTTAAATGAGTGCAGAGAGATGGAGCAACGAGATGCTTGGGCAATAGTTGTTCCTTTCTTGGCCAAGAAATCAGCTTTTTCATTACCCCAAATCCTGCAATGTCCCGGGATCCACTGGAGGATGATTTGCTTGCCTTTCAGTGTCAGGTCTTTCAGACAATCAATGCATTTCTGAATGGAGATGGATTGGGGAATCAGTGGAGAGTTAATATCAAGAAGTGCTGCTTTAGAGTCAGATAAGATGACGGCGCTAGAAAATTGGTTAGTACGACCCTCTAGTTGTACAAAATAAATATATATATATTGTAATAATATGATAAAATATCAGAAAATATATAGCAATAAAGAATTTAAAACATACAATAAAGCTGCAAATTTAAAGATTCCAGAACACCATTTGTGTCAGATTCATCAATGTTAGCAGTTTTGTCATACCAGTCTACTCTGCAATGGATTCTACTTCATCCTCATCTGCTGAGACCCACAAAAAACATCTTTAACGAAAAATCATCCAACAAAATCAAAATTCCATGCTTTTTAAAATATTTTACACTTACATTTGAATCCACATTTTACCACTCTTCTAGCTTTATTTGACACATGTCTATAGGAATGCCTAATAATCAACTTACCATCACCGTTCAACTAATAGACCTGACATACCAGAAATTTGTTATCTTGTAATCAAAAATTGGTTTATTTTGTTCCGTAAAAAAGTGTGCAAATCTTGTAAAATTTTGCACGTTTTCTATCTCTTAGACCATGATTAAGTAATATTAGTCAGAAACTAAAAAATTAAGCAATGTTACTTAGCAAAAAAGAAACTTATTTTATCCTTTTTATTTATGATTTTAAAATCTTTAAACTCTTATTACAGATGCTTTACGTAATGCTTAGAAAAGAATTATTAGTATGATAATTTTAGAAATTAATATTATATTTTGTTGTTTGAATAATATATTATTTTCATCAAATTCTGTTTTCTATTTAAAAATTTATGTTTCTGTTTCAATTTGTTCTTAAAAACAAAGATATAAATTTATTTTATGTGGCATAAATAATTATTATACTCTTACTCTCTTCTCGTTTGCAAAGATTGAAAAGGGAAACAAAGATTGAAGATTTACAAAGATTGAAAAAAGACAAATTAATTTACCGTTGCAGTTTTGCTTATGTCAAGGAGAAATTATTTAATCAAAATATCTGTCTTTAGATACTAAAAATTCCTAATTCTTTATGATTGCCTTGATTGTTTTATTTGACTATTTGACCATACTAATTACATCTTACTTTCCTAACCATTACATTGAATTTTTATTTTTATGTTTTATTATTAAAAAAAATTAAAATATATCAATTAATTAATTGCTCGTATAACTATAGGTCATTGATAGCACATCGATTCTTCATGATAAGGTGAAGGCTTTAGCAGATTTGATAAAGGAATCTAAACATGTTGTAGTTCACACTGGTGCTGGCATAAGTACTTCAGCTGGAATTCCAGATTTTAGGTAATCATATGTTTCATTTTTAAATTTTTAAAGAAGAATATGGATTATTTATTAAAAGAACGTGTCGGGGAACTGGACTAGCTGTCTGTGTCCAAATTATCAGAATCAGCGATGATTTAATTAAAAATTTGACTTATGCAATTGGGATGTGAAAAAGACACTTTCTTTTATTATGCCACATTAAGTACATCCAAAACAATTTATAACCTCTTCAAACAAAAGCCAATCTTGTTGTCTTCTAAAAATTGAAAATAAAAATAAAATTCACACTCGACGTTTTTGATATTAGCATTGCCTGTTTCAGTATTTCATAATTTTTCTTGCTTTTTTCAACCTTGCTAAATTTTATTCTTAAAAGTTCTGAAGGAATATTTCCAATTGTTATAACTACTTTAATATGAATGTTTTTATCTTTTGTTTAGAAACAATAAAGTAAGTAATGTAGTCTTTATTATGAGAATAATACTCAATTCTTCAAGCCTTTTTCAGAACTGAATCTAGCTACATCAATTCAAATTCAGATTGTAGACATCACTCGCATGAACTGAATGTTACTAACATTCATTCTCTGTACTTTATTTTATTCTTAATACCAAAAATTTATTTTTCTAAATTTCATCGCAGTCTTCACAGCATTTACACCCTTATGCACTTTAACAGCGCTTCTTCTAACCCATTTCATCGATATTCGGTTTTGACTAGTTTTTCTCATTTATTGTAACTGATCACTATCAGAGTTATAGGTTTGCCCGTTGAAGAAGCTTATCTTTTCCTGCAGGTCACGTGTACTACATTCCTCCCCCGCCAATAAAAAAATTCTTGTGCGTTTTCTCAACTTGTTTGAGGAAAAAATTTTTAACTGTGACTTTTGAATTAGCGTCTTCTAAAAACGTTTCTTTCTTATAATAGATATTTGTGACTGTAATCATCTGAAATATTTTTTGAACTCTTTATATTTTTTAAAGCACTAAAATGTTTTTTTCAAAAATGTTTTTTTAAAATAGAATTTAATGGTTGGTTTAATTTAGAAAAATTATTTTATTTGAAATGATCTTGGATATCATGATTAAGAGTTTTCATTTTTCCTCTTATTAATTGTTTAAAGCTCTTATAACTATGTATTTTAAATTTTTTAAATATTATAAAACCACATTTTACGTTCATCATAAAAATTGATTTATAACTTCCAATCTTTTTACACTTTTTAAATACTTACATATAGAAACACACATGTATACCTTGATCGAAAAACACAAGTCTGTATCAAGAGTTGAAATGAAATAATATAATTGCAACTACCTTGTGAAAAAAGATAATTAATCAAATATTGGCACTTTTAGTACTAATAAATTAAAAACATGAATTAAAAGCGACTGCTGATGAAAAACGAATCATAGTTTTGGATTTCAATTTGAAATATTTGTACCTCTTAATTAAAATTTAGTGTACTATTATTCAATGAGTGTAGTATTTATATAAAATTGTCACGGAGTGTTTGCACCATATAACCAAGATTTTGTCTTTTTATCCCCCTGGTTACTCTCCATCACTCCCATGAAACGAAGAATATCTACCTTATGATTGGTCAGAAGGTAGATGTACTTCGATTATTGATTTTAGCCTTTGAAATCAAGCTATCGCGCTGTCACATGAAAAAAAAAATGCTCAAAATATTTCAATATTATGTTCTCTTTTTGATAAAGCAAATTTTGTTGCAATAATAATTCTTGTTTATTCAGTTATATGAAAATATTAATAGAAATTTTATACTCCAAATCAATTTATTTTTTCTTTTTGGCTAAAAAGCTTACTTTTTTAATGAGGATTTAAAGGCTCTATTTAGTAAATTGCATTCAAAAGAGAAAAGTATATAATAAGAAAGAAAAAAATTAGAGATGATTTTTTTTAAAAATGTCCTAATTAATTTCATATTTACTATATCATTAAACTGGGGTACATGCGCATCTATGGCATGCAATATTTGAGGGTGGGAGATCAAATTCAGACTAACATTTCCTAAATCTGCAAAGTGTTTTTTTTTTTTTTTTTTTTTAATGTAGCTTGTTTTTAAATTTAAATCAATTCTGATTCATCAAACTTTTGTATATTAAAGCATTCGTTTTTTTAAAAAAAAATATCAGGTGGTTTTTATTTCTAATTATTGAGGGCAAGGTTGAAAAAAACCCAGTTTTTTTCAGGGTTTAATTGGGTGTTTTCAAACTAAATAGTGTTTTTCATGATTTTGTTTATTTGCTAATTTCTATTGTATAACTATTTTTAAAATGCCCCTTTACTATAAAACTGGTGATCAGGAATTACCCCAGAAGTGTCAAGATAAGGGGTAATTCCTTATCACTGAAAATTTGAAATGTTTTAAATTCTAATTTGATTTTCAAACAAAAGAAAACACGATAGAACTCATCTCATATAGCCTTAAACTTCCAGAAAGTATTAAAATTCTATCTTTGTATAGTTTTTTCACAAACTGGATGTTTGCATTTTTTTGATCAGGAATTACCCGAGGTCACCATATAGCCATTTTTTCATAGGTATATTTAATCAGCAGGATTGCACAAACAAAAAACAGCAAAAAATCTCATATTAGGGACCACAGCTCTAAATTATTTGAGAGCATTGACTAGGTAAAGATTTGTTAAAAAGGATTTTTAATACATTTTTCTCATTCTCATTTTATTAAAGAATTTTTAACTGTGAATAGTCATTTCTATGTTTTCGAATGTCTGCAAAGAATTTATTTTAAAGAATAAAATCTTCATAAATATCTTTTTAAAGTAATAGTAACACTTTCTTCACTATAAAATTACAAAAATATTTCTGTCACTGACTTTTTAAGGATTATTAATTTTACTATGGAAAAATGTTAATGTGCTATGTCTTTATCCTGTTGTCATTACTCCTAGAGACTTTAAATAATTGAGTAACTATACATTTATTCTCTTAATTATTATTCTTATTGTTAATACCAATTGTGAAATATTCCTTGTTGAAATAATTATACTATTGTCTCGTTTGACATAATTCTTACTTTTTTTTCAGAGGACCCAAAGGTGTTTGGACTCTTGAAAAGGAAGGTTTAAAACCTAATATTAATATTTCATTCAATGATGCTAAACCAACTGCTACTCACATGGCTCTAAATGCATTACTAGATGCAGGTTATGTGCATTTTATTGTCAGTCAAAATGTTGATGGTCTGCATTTACGCTCTAATGTGCCTCCAGACAAACTTGCAGAATTGCATGGGAATATGTTCCTTGATAAGTGCAATCATTGTGAAAGGTGAAAAATATCTTTAATGAAGTAAAAAAATAAATAACTGTACCTGGTATTTAAATTTTTATTTTACTTTTATTATCCTAACTTTTTAAGTTTCTCACTCCATTATATCTTTAAACTCGGGTACTGTTTACGTAATATTACTTAAATTTATAATTTGAGGCTGATTTATATGACTTAGTATATGTTGTAAATGTATATTATGTGTACTAAATATACACTATCTATGCTATTTACTTTTCTATTCAAATGTACTTCACACCATCGGGTTTTAAGAAACAATAACTAATTACAGAAACTATTGGTGTTGCATACAGTGCATATTTTAGACAATCCTTAATCAACAAGTATGAAAATGGCATTTTTTTTATAAGAAATAATATATAAAAACATTAAAAAAATACTTAAATACTTGTATTATTATTTTAAGGGTGGATAAAAAAGTTTAAAGTATTTACTTTTATCTATTTTTCATTAAAATTATTGCTTTGTAAACTTAATTATTGTCAGAGCTTATAGTTTTGGTTGGTGTTATGCTCCAACATTTTGAGAAATGCCCAAATAATTCTTTTTGTTCTGAACAATGTTAAAACAAAAACTAATATTATTATTATTTTACTTAAAGATTTATTTAGTACCTCTCTATTATAATATACTTTTGTTTTTTGAATCAAAGTGTCTGAAATCATAACTGCATTAATTTTTTTGAAGCAGTAATTTTTATCTCATTGTTTAATAATAACTTCTCCTATTTCGGGTTGCATTTTTAAAATAGTCCGATTTTAATTTTAAACAAAATTGTCACTATATTCTTTTAATATCAAAGTAACTTATTAACAGTGTTTAAAATTTAAAAGAATTATTTACTTAATAATAAAATATGCTTACAAGTTAAATCACTCTTGTGTTAAAAATTTAGTGTATGGATATATTATTACTTAGTATATGGGTATATCATATAATTTTATACTTCAACTAGCTATGTAAAACTTATAATAATTCTGTAATGATGACGATAATGCATATAATTTTTAATTTGTTTCACATTTTTAAAAATTTTATTGATATTTGTTGTTATTCCTCCATTTTAAGGCCTGCTCAGACTATTAAATCTTTCTGGCCATAATGGTCGATTATTTAGAGCAGGTAGCATGTCACAGGCTCATACTTTTATATAGAGTGACTTAAATATACCCTACAAAGTACAAGAAATTAACCATATATGGCAATGGAGTTTCGATGGTCTGAGGGGGTTTCATATTTGATTTCTGCATAACTTTCAATGTCTTTGAAAAGGCACTGTAACTTATGTAAAGTATAGGGATGTATCGCAAAGCCCTATGACAAAATATAATCATCATTTCAGGGGTGCATAGGAATTGCCACTGGAATTTCCAAACTTTTTTTTTTTTTTGCATGATATAAGTCCTCACAACCCCAATGCTTGATGTACTATTATTAAAAAATGTATACTAGTATAATTGTATATAAATTCTTACTAGTATACTATATAAAATATAAAATTGTTCAACTATCAAGAGTAACAGAAAACAAGGAAAATTAACTATTAAAAGAAAAGACCTTGTATTTTGATTGATCTTGCAATCCTGGTTTCATACATTTCAACTCCAATAAATGTTAACACAGTGTTGTTGTTCTAAATATTGTGCACAATCTAATCAATCTTGATAAAACGGGCATCAAATAAAAGTATATAAGATCTTTTCAAACTAAAATAAGTTATAGAACCATATTGACATAAAATCAAGCTGTAAAACTTAACTCCCCCCCCCTCAAAAAAATCATACAACTGAATGAAACTGACTTTTTTTTATATATTTATAAAATTATAAACAATTGATTGTGCGACTTGAACGACTGCTGTCGCATTTCATGCTTATTAACATCTGAATAATTAAAATGAATGATAAGTTTTTCAGTTCATAGTTTTTAGGGCATTGAATGTTTATTTTATTTTGATTATATGTTCCCATCTTTAAACTCTATAATCTCTATAATCTCTTAACTTTACATCTATAAACTAAGATTTTTCCTAACATAGTTGTNTTTTGATTGGTGTTACATTTTGAGAACTGCCCAAATAATTATTTTTGTTCTGAACAATGTTAAAACAAAAAAATAATATTATTATTTTACTTAAAGATTTATTTAGTACCTCTCTATTATAATATACTTTTGCTTTTTGTATTAAAGTGTCTGAAATCATAACTGCATTTATTTTTTTAAAGCAGTAATTTTTATCACATTGTTTAATAATAACTTCTCCTATTTCAGGTTGGATTTTTAAAATAGTCTAATTTTAATTTTAAACAAAATTGTTACTACATTCTTTTCATATCAAAGTAACTTATTAACAGTCTTTAAAATTCAAAAGAATTGTTTACTTAATAACAAAATATGCTTACAAGCTAAATCACTCTTGTGTTAAAAATTTAGTCTATGGATATATCATTACTTAGTATATGGGTATATCATATAATTTTATCCTACAACTAGATAATGTGTAAAAATTATAATAATTCTGTAATGATGATGCATATAACTTCTAATTTGTTTCACATTTTAAAAATTTTATTGATATTTATTGTTATTCGTCCATTTTAAAGCCTGCTCAGACTATTAAATCTTTCTGGCCATAATAGTCGATTATTCAGAGCAAGTAGCATCTCTCAGGCTCATACTTTTATATAGAGTGACTTAAATATACCCTACAAAGTACAAGAAATTAATCATATATGGAAATGGAGTTTCGATAGTTTGAGAAGGTTTCATATTTGATAGCTGCATAACTTTCAATATCTTTGAAAAGGCACTGTAACTTATGTAAAGTATCGGGATGTATCGCAAAGCCCTATGACAAAATATAATCATCATTTCAGGGGTGCACAAGAATTGCCACTGAAATTTCCAAACTTTTTTTTTTGCATGATATAAGTCATCACAACCCCAACGCTTGATGTACTATTATCAAAAAATTTATGCTAGTATAATTGTATATAAATTCTTACTAGTATAACTGTATAAAATTGTTCAACTATCAAGAGTAACAGAAAACAATAAAAATTAACTATTAAAAGAAAAGACCTTGTAATCCTGGTTTCATAAATTTCAACTCCAATAAGTGTTACACATTAGCATGCTCATGTGTTCTAAATATTGTGCACAATCTAATCAATCTAGGTATAACGGGCATCAAATAAAAATATATAAAATCTTTTGAAACTAAAATAAGTTATAGAGCCATATTAACATAGAATCAAGCTGTAAAACTTAATTTTTTTTATCTCCCCCCCTTCTAAAAAAATCATACAACTAAATTAAACTGACTTTTTTATATATTTATAAAAGTATAAACAATTGATTGTGCGACTTGAATGACTGCTGTCACATTTCATGTTTATTAACATCTGAAAAAATAAAATAAATGATAAACTCTTCAGTTCATTGTTTTTAAGGCATTGAATGTTTATTTTATTTTTATTATATCTTCCCACCTTTAAGCTCTATTCATATAAATCTATTCAATAGCTGCGGAGTTATCCAAGAAATATGGAAATACTCTTAATTTTGAACACCAGTAAACTAAGATTTTCTTCTAACATAGTTGTCATGAGAATATTACATTATATATTATCAGTTGTTGTCATAATTTGCATTAAATTATGTAATTTATATTATGTTAATTATATAATTTATGTTTTATTATCATAATTTAATTTATGAAGTGTGCTGTACTGAAGTATTACAATGTATTTTTATTTATTTATTTTGTTTAGATTGTTTGTGAGGAAAAGTGCTACAGAAACTGTTGGTCAAAAATTCACTGGAAAGTTTTGCCCTTTGCCAAAACCAAATGGAAGAAGATGCAGAGGAAAATTGCATGATACTATTTTAGACTGGGAAGATGAACTCCCTCTTCGAGATTTAGAACTTGCGGAAATAAATTCTCGGTAACTGTACTGAATCAAATCTATACATTTTTGTAAAAAAGAAAAAGAGTTTTGTATAAAATTTTAAATTGCATAAATCATCTTAAAATTGCATTTGTGTGGCATAGAAACCACAATTTAATTGTGGTTTCTATTTACTAATAACTCTCATGATACTTCAATACTATTAAAAATTTTATAGCTGGCTGTTCTCACGACAAAATTTGAAGACTAACTCTTATAATATACAAACAAATTTCGTCAATTTTTAGAATATCACAGGTTTTTGATTATCAATTCCAATCAAGATAATCATGTTGTGTAATATTTTAATGTTGATATTGAGGAATCTTCGACTAAATTTATTTTCTTCAAAAATATTAAGTAGTTCATAGTGTTTTGAATTTATTGAAACTTTACTTTAAAATTATTTAATTAAGGAAACATTAAACTCGATTACAATTTTTAAACATATATTGATGTGAGAAAATTTATTTATTTAATGCTGATTATTTTTTTTATTTCAATAATATGAAAACTTTCCACTTACTGATTTGAAATTATAATGAGTTATTCAGTGTTGATAAAATTATATAGAAAACTATTAAAAACTTCTGTTTTAAACGAAGTAATTATAAAATTTAAAAATTTTACATTTAATTATTCTTTTGTCATACTATTTGTTTTATTACACAAGTAGAGCAAATAATACCTTTTTTTAGTTTTTTTTTTTTTTTTAAATAGTCTGGTACACTCTTTTAAAAATGTTCTGATTATTTTTTTGAAAAATTTTCTGATTTTTTCTTTGGGCTACTATAAAGCCTGATAATGTTGGTTTTTTGCTTAGTAGAGACTAAGAAATTTGCTGCGGCATTGTGCAGACTCTTTTTTTTTTGGTAATCTGTGATCAAGATTTCAAATATCACTTTCTCAATCTTTTGTTATAATCTTAATCTAGCTACTATTTAAGTACATATTACAATGATAACTTTAAACCATAGATTCCCAACATGGGCATTGAAGGCTTCTCAATAGGGATGTGGGATTTTCTAAAAAATGTATAAAAACCTATATAGAGAAGAAATTTTTTTTAAGAATTAATATTTTATTTCACATTGAAAAACCTATACATATTTGTTTCTGCATAAATTACATGCTATTATAACAGTTATTAATTCAGCAATTTATTGGGGTAAAAATTGGTAACTAAATTTTTAGTGAAAATGATACTTTGCCTGCTGTTGTGCACAAAAACTTGACTTAAAAAAAAAATCAAACTATTTTTTTGACAAATTATTTTAATAGCTTTTTTTATTTAATAATATAACAATAATTACAACAATTATTTCACAATAATTTGGGATTTTTAAAATATATTTTCAAGCTATTTTATGATTAAATAAAAAAAATTGTAAAAAAAAGTTCAAATTTAAAGTTATTGACGAGTCGGAATTTTCGATGAATTAACAATATAATTAAAAGTAAACCATTTAAAAAATAATGAATGTTTAAATTTCTTTTAAATGTTTTAATCAATGTTTTTAAAAAAAAATTTTAGAGGGAGTTTAAACAAAAATCTGTCTTGCAAAGTGGGTGGTGAGTTAAAAACCTACACATTAAATGTTTATGATCTCAGTATAATTAAATGGTGTAATGATCTCTGAAAGTGATAATTTTAACATACAAATGAATAGAGCGAACCTGTACCAACTGATTTTGATAGCGATAAGTGATTGATAACATTAACTGCAATTACATTAAGAGACTACTGTGCATGCGTTTATAAAATTTCAGTGTTGTTAGAATTTAATATTATCAGAATTTTAAATTCAGTAAGCTTTTTTTTTTTTCTTGAGATGTTGTAAGAAGGAAAAGTTTGTAGCTACTAATTGTGTTGTATGCAGAATTTACCTATTTGCTTCCTCCAATGTTGACAGCTATAAGTTATCATTTTAGAAGTTAAACCACTAGAAAAAATTTAAGAAATATCTTATTTACAATTTTTTGTAATAAATAATAATAATAAATGTTTTTGAGTTTCTTTTACGTTTACTGTTTTCAATCATTGCAAAACCTAACAATGTGTACTATTTGGTGTTATAATCGTTGCAGGGAGGGGATAAAAAGTAACAGTTGCAACTTTCTTGAAGTATATGATTTTAACTTATAATTTTCAATTACATTTGAATCTTCTGGTTTAAAAGGTTATCTATATGGTAGCAAATATTTAATTTTATGAAAATTTTTTATTTTTGGAATAAAAAATTTGACTTTAATCATAGATATGTAATTTTAAAAAATTAGGAGAGAAAGCTCATAGTACACAATGCGCAATATTATGCTCAACATGTTGAAATTTGAAAAACAATCAACCATATTGTTTTTAAATCATTATGCAAAAACAAAAAACTACAAATTAATTGCTTAACAAAAAATGCACATTATTATTATAATTTTTTGTTTTTGGATTAGATATAAAGTTTTTATTTGAAACTTTTTAGATGTTAAAAATGCTAATGAAACATATGAGGTTTTGAAATAATAATGAACAATGTTGATCAATCAAATATAATAATAAGGAAAATAATTCTACATTTATTTCTGGTGAGAATAAGTTTTTGCTACAATACATAGTTTTTTATTATTATTTTTTTTTAGTAATATTTTTACTATTGAAACATTACTGGTGTGATTTTCTTACTTCAATTCATAATTTATGAAACAAAATTTTAAAAATAAATAAACTGCTTATGATTTAAAAAAAGAAAGCAAAAAGTATTATACAGCTTGTAGATTTGATAAATAGAATAAATAAAAAGCTTGCGAGCACATTAGAAACCTTTTATTTACTGTTTGCCTGATCAGAGTTTTTATATTGATCTCCTTTATCACTCAAATGTCTGAAATTTTGTTTCCACTTAAAAAACTGAAGATAAAAAAAATTTATATCTTTTTATTTTTACTAGTGACACATTATTGCATTATTACCACAAATATTCTGTGTGTTTCTCAGATTATGCAATTTCTGGGTTTAGGTTGTTGGATTTAAAAAAGAAAAAAAATTAATAATAACTTGTTTATTTTTAGGAAAGCAGATCTTAGCATATGCCTGGGAACTACTCTACAAATAATTCCAAGTGGTAACCTTCCCGTTTTAACAAAGAAATCCAAAGGAAAACTCGTCATTGTCAATTTGCAACCCACTAAACATGTGAGTATCCAATTATTATTTTTTTTATTATTCATGTTGCTTATGTAATTGACAAAACTCTAATGCTTATTATAATTAGCTGGCCTTTGTTCTCTGTTCATACTTCAGTTGAACATTTTCTAACATTTTTATTTTAATGACATACTTTTCTTTCTTTTTCTTTAGTATAACTAAAATATTTGTAAGCAAACATAACAAAATTAATAATCATTTTTCTATACAACATGCAGTGTGATTGAGAATAATCTTATGAGATATGACATTAACATAATTTTATGTGTACATTAACATAATATTTATGTGTTGAGTACTGCACATTTCCCAGCCACGTTTTGTCAAATATGTATAATTTTTTTCTATTGTAAAAAAATACAAGTTTAAAAAATATGTATAATAAATTATCAAATATCTATATCAGTATCTGTATCAAATAATTTATCAGCAACATCTTTCTTAAATTACTTTTTTACTCTGCCAATATTTTTATTTTACCCTAAATTACTTATTTTACTACCCTTTTTACTAAGACATCACTAGAAAAATATTTTCTGAATAGTTTTCTAATAATGGTAGATTTCGCCATAATGAAATTTTTCCTAAATAATTGCAATATTCGTTTTATTAGTGGACTTAAAATCAATTTTTAACTAGTTCATTAATTAGTGAGAACTAATTTCATTATGTTAAAAAAGCTCTCTATCCCTGCAACTGGGCGATAAATCGATGTAGCACGAAATATCATTTTAACACATATATCCGCAGGCTGATATAATGATTTTCGTTTTCGGTGATACAATGATTTTTGTTTCGTTAAAAATCTGAAGAAAGTAAGAAGTAAGTTTTTTCTTGAACTAGTTATTATAAAGGTGTGATATTTTTCTGTTGTAGGTGTATTAATTAATTAATGTTATTAATGTTAATTATTAATGTTAGTTAAAAAAATTATGTTAAATATGAAACATATGTATGGTATGTAAATTGTTATCTTGGTATCTATTTTTTGTTCATAAAATTTTCAGGATTTTTCACTTTGTGTCACATAACAGGGGGTCACGTAGATGTCGCAAAAAACATTCTAGGAGAGTTAAAGCACATCATCAGGATTAAAACTGCTTAGGAACCCATATGGGGAATTTTCGTCATAAGCGGCTAAAGGTGCTTCCCTATTATGACCTGTTCAGAAGCATATCAAGGAACAGTTTATAATAGGGAAGCACCCCTAAAATTGTATATTGACATTTCTGGCATGGGTTCCTTTGTAATTTTAATCCTGATAATGGGTCTTAACTCCCCTAAAAGTTTGTTGCTATATTCTTGTGACGAACTCTTTATATATATCACGTTTTTAAATCTGTACAGTTTGATAAAAAATAGACTAAAAATATCATTTAAGAAATACTTTAGCTTGGAGAGAAAAACCGATCATAGATTTGAAATCAGCGACTTGAAACTATCAAAGATCCGTTTTTAAAAAAATTCAATAAAAAAACTATTTGCCCCCCAGTGTTACTTTTAAGTAAATAAGTTTTTTTCATCAATTAATTACTTCCAGAAAAAAAGAATAATTTATGTATTTTGTTTGAGAAATGTTGTTGTTAATTTACGTCGCACTAGTGCTGCACAATGGGCTATTGGTGACGGTCTGAGAAGCATCCCGGAGGATGATCCGAAGACATGCCATCACAATTTCAATCCTCTGCGGAGGGGAAATATTGTAAGGATTAAGAAAATAATAATATGATCTAAGCTTCTATTTGCTGTTCTGATTAAGCTATTGATAACTCATTTTCAAAATCAGGACTACCACATTTTAGTTCTAGAAATTTAAATTCATTGGAAAAAGTATGTTTTGGGTATATTTGTGTTTCATTTAAACTTCATTAATCATCTGCATCGATTGATTAGCATATCTTAGGTAGACCTCAAAAATATGAAGATTGCTTGCATTTCATTAGGGGAAAATCTGATCATTAAGCCAAAAGTTTATTGCATGAAATCATTGTCTGTGGTGAAACCAATTAAACTAATTCATATTAAGTACATTACGTATTAGTTGCTTTGCGAACTATAATGCTATAAATGTAAATATATAATTTTAAAGAACCAAATGAATAAAAAATATACTAGTTTTTTGTGTTACAGGACAAGCAAGCAGACATCATTATTCATGGATATGTGGATGAAGTAATGAAAAAATTAATGGAGTACTTGAATATTGAAATTCCTGAATATAAAATTTCCAATGATCAAACCAAAAATAACCTCAGTAAAGTTTCTGAATATGTGCGAAGTGAGAAAATAGAAGAAGAAGAATTGAAAGAGGAAATTCTTGATGAAGTTATACCAACTCCTAAGTCTGAAGACCATCCTGAATTGAAGTCAGAAATAACAAATGGAAACTGTCAAAACTCTAAATTAGTAGACCAGCCTGATTTACTAAAAGCTAGGGAAGATCAATCTTCAATTGTGGAAAAATTAGAATTTAAGTCTGATGTGCATTTAACAAATGATTGTTTGCCCGATGCAAGTGAAAGTTCAATGTGTGAAGAAAATAGTGAAATAAAATGTGATATGAACATAACTCCTAATATTGAAAATGTTCTACTAGAAAGTGGAGCCTGAAAATTCTCCAAAATCATTTTTTTAAAAAGATAACGAGTCATTTATTACCTTTACTTCAGAAGAAAATTGCATTTTAGTTTGAGTTATTTAGCAGTGTGTACAAAATGTTTTTAACTTTATACCCTTTTGCTAGATGAGAGATAAAAGATATAAACAAATGCAAAATATCTATGTACTCAAATATAGTTTTTAAATGCTACAATTGTATATGATGTCTCTATATTCATTAGTACTTTTTCTCAAAACTAAATTGGTAGATTCGAAACAACATGAAAAATATTTTATATTACCAGTGCAGATTGCATTTTGTGAATTTAGAGAAAATAGTTTTAACCCTCCTTTGTCAAGGTATAAGAGTTTTAAGACTTCTGGGACACTTCTCTTCATATAATAACAGAAAGGATTATGAAATTATCAGTTGTAAAATTCTTAAATTTGTAGATGATAAAGTTTGTTAAGTTCCAATTTTATTTATTCATTATTTAACAGTGTTAACCTATAATATTTGATTATCTTTCAGTTTTAATATATATAATTCTTGATTATTATTGCTTTTTCGATTTTGATTATTATTCGAAATTAAAGGCTTTAAATTAAAAGTGGTACTCTTTTATTTTAATTTCAAGTAGTCACCTTACGTTATACCACTCTTTATGCTTAAAAATGTTTTATTACCATTTTATAATAATTAATAAATAAGATATACTTTTCAAAATACATTTTATGTTACTATATTCAGTCTACATATGCACTTAAAATAACTATTTAAAATCCTAAAGGTTAGGGTATATTTAGTGCTACGTATACTAAACAGCATGAATGAAGTACAGAAATGGACATACTATAGTTTTGGTTCTCTAAACAAGAACCTTCCTCAGTGTCTAAACACCAAATGACATTATAAAGTTAAGAGATTAATTCAAACCCACAAATTTGAACTATAGCAATTTAATTGTTTTACCCTATTGTCCGAAAGCCAGTCCCTAAATTACTAAAATTTGAGCTTAAAATCGTTTTCTCTCCTTTTAACAAACTTAATTTCATGAACTTTAAAAGACACTTTTGCTGATATTGATATCTAGGGCATTTATCAAATTTCTTGTCAGTGTGGACAAATTTCATGTCAGTGTGGTTCAAAATAAGAATATTAACTGATCTTCAATCGCTCAACATAGTTGGAATTCTAATCATAGGTTTGAGTTTTTTGCTAAAATCATTCAACAACTGCTCTTCTATTGAACTTGATTTTTGGGAATCACTCCATATTTTGAAAAATTTTAATAATTCAGTTTATGATCTCCCTAGTATCCCGCAGTTTTCCAATGTTTGGAAATCTATTCTAATTTATTTTTTTGCTTCCTGGCGGTTCTCGGAAAAACTCCTCACATGTTTCTAATAAACATTCTTTTTATTATCTTCTTAAACTTGTTCCTCTGTACTGATTGGCTAGAACACTCTGTACATATTTATCTCTTTAATTTTCTTGCATCATTTGGTGTTTTGACACTGAGGAAGGTTCTTGTTTAGAGAACCTAAACTATAGTATGTCCATTTTCATACTTGTGTTTTATTCACATTATTTTCCCCTTTAAAATATTCAGGGAATATAAAAAATCTACTCTTAAAACTTTTGCTAAATATTCCCTTTGATAAAAAATTATTTACGAATTTTTATAGCAACCAAATTTCAAGACAGTATTTTTAAAAACAAATTTGTGAATGAAGTTGCAATGGTAAGTAAACTTATTTAGATTTAAATTGTTAACTATTTTAAATCTGTTGAACCAAATTTGAGTAAAATAAAAATTAAATTTTATTTAAATATTTTTAATTTGATGTAACAGTCTAGTACTTATTACAAAACAAAACTGGGTTCTAAAGAACCCTGGGATGTATACATGTGTACTTGTATGATTTTTTTTTAAAATTGAACTTTGCATTTTTCTTCCAGATTGTAATTGGATTGCCTATTTTCATTTATTTATCTATTGTTTTTTTTTCTTTCATTTTTTTTAACACTGTATTTAATATTTTAAATGTTAATTTTAACAATTAATGTTTGCAATTCTTAGGTGTTCTCATTAATTAGGCAGTTTTTGTATACATATTTTTCAAATACTGTCAAATTGAATTGGTTAAATCACCATAAAATTTCTATGACTTGTTTATAATTTAATTTTGCAGCTTGAAAAAACCTACTAGTTTTTATTTTCAATTTTAAGCTGCTTCTTTACGTTTTTGCTTTTTAATTAAACAGTGTATTGTTTTTATTTATTTGTTTATACTTAAGTTAATAATAATTGTTAAATATGAGTGATTTTACAAAGCGTTACAAACAAATATATATCAGCTACAATAATTGATTGAGTGTAAAATTTTTTGTTTTGGCAGCTAGGATATCCTTTAAAACTGAACCATCTACTATTGCTAAACTACTGCTTTTGTATTATGAAACATAAACTGTGGACTTACCCAAATTGTAATATTCTATTCTTTGTAGAAAAAATCTTGCATAAACAAAATATTTATGTAATATATAATTTGCTATTGAATTTCGCCTTTTTTATACATAATTTGTTAATATTAATGTTTGTAAAAATATATAATTCATGATTGTAGTCTAATGTCAAATTTGCAGCAATTAACCCATTTAAGATGTTCCTAAAAATAAGTAAGATTACTCACTTAAATAGTTATAGTTTTATAATCATTAGATTTTTATGTTCAGTTTACATTGTATATAAAATTACAATCGTGAATAGAATTTTTTTCACTTATTGTACTTTTGTATTATTACAAAATTTTAACGTACTTGTTTAAAATATCACTTTGAATCATTTTAAAATAGTTCACTTTTAATCAAAATGTTGTATGTTACTATCATTTTTCTTTTATCATGTAAAGCACATTCAAGAAATATTCAAACAAATTGCTGATTTAAACAGTGGTTAAAAATGTGTCATGTTTATAATATAGGTAGAAAGCTTTTTATACTCATTTTTGTAGTTTTATATTTATTTTGCTGGTGTGTTTTGAAATTAGAAAAATTTTATTTTATTATGAAATATATATAGTTTAAATGAAGCAAAATGTGTACATAAAATAATATGATGTGGCAAATATTTAAATTGTTTAAACTTATAAAAGTTCAAGCTATCTATTCATGAAACTTTTGTAACAGTTGTTAAAAATAAATTGTTTATGTTACCTAGTTGGCTTATTCATATTTGTTTCATCATTTTTAAAAACCATTTTCCAAGCCTTATCTGCTCCAGACTGTGATCTTAGTGATACCTGATGACCGAATTCTCCCTTCACCAACCCATGGTACCATACATGAGATGAGCCTTTCCGATTCCAGCTGCCCTTGATCACATTAGCGTGAAATCAATTTGGAACATTTTATTTCGATTTTTAAATGACACTGGATGGCTGTAAAGGCATCCATAATAATTTCAAATAATATTTCACAGGCGTTAACCTACTTGTTCTTTCGGTTTCTAGTTTTTTAAATTTTTTTTTAATTTGATATATGGTGTTTAAACTCGTAATCAACAGTGCATGCTCGGCTTTTTCAAGAATATTAGGCACATGAATTCCTGTGCTCTGTATTTTTGTTTATATTTTGATAGAGTGGGAAAAGGGTTGAATGCTTATTGGTTTATGTGGGTGCTGATTTGTCAATTGGTAGGTTTGCTAGATAGTGTTCAGTTTTACAACTTTTTTTCAAAATATTGTGAGCATTTTATTACAGTATATTCATTTATTACTGTATATTCAATGACAATAAATGGCAAACTTCAGCATATTTAGTTTCAGCAATGATTTTACAGGGATTTTTAAATGAAATTACGATTAAGGGGAAAACTGTCTTGTCACATGCCTAGTTTTACTCTCAGAACGTGTGGCTCTGAGAGTGAAATTGTGCTTCCTTCTTCTTTCACTGGTTCAAAACAAATTAGAATGTAATGAATAACTGTTTTGTTTTTTTTAAATGTCGATTCCTATCATCATTCTTGCAGATTTTTATATAAATTGCCTTCCTGATTCTGACTGTGATTTTAAGATATTGGAGTACTGTATATTCCATCCCTAAGGCTTGTAATGAAATAGGTGAGGGAGTTAAAGGGAATAGAGACATAAACATTGCTATCTAAACAAATGATGTATTGTCGGACCATTAGATAAGTTATTTTAGTTTTAAGTATAAAAAGTACAGTTTAGTCCTTATACCTATTTACTTATCTGATATTGCTCTATGGACTAGTGAGGCATTGTTCCTTTGCTGAAAATCAAGTCAACAGAATTAATAGTTTCAAAGTTATAAGTGGTTAATGGGTAAAATGTTTTAAGTCAAAAAGTATAATTATCATATATTAAAGTCTATTTTCTTGCAGGGTTGCCAGGTTTTACCAAGACATGGTAAAAACTACGTTTTTACTGTTAAAACTATGGGAAAAGCCTGGTAAATACTGTTAACTCATTTATTAACAGATATAATGGTATTTATTTATAACTGATAGGAATATCCAATATTAAGAATAGATAATATATATGTATATCAGCAAATAGCAAACCATCGGACAAATGATATGATGTAAGCTATCTCCTAAATTTTAATTGTAAGACTAATTTTTACCAGGTGAGGCAAATTTTCTCAATATTAAAAACTGGAAAATGTATCAGATTTTCAATCTGATCAAATAACCCTTAATTAAATATTAAAACTATATTTAAAAATTACATAATTGTATTATATCATTGTATACCGTCACTTTATTACAGCTGCATTTATACACAGAAAATAACCGAATAGCCAAAAAAGCTCAAAAATGCAGAATTTTATAATAAAAAAATATTATTATTATTATTTTTTTTTTTATTACGAAAGAATAATTGGAACACTAAAAATTCTGCAGTAGTGATTAGGGTACTGTAAAAAAAGGATATATTTTTAGGTTATATTTTATTTTTAGGTTATATTTAAAGGTTATATTTTATTTTTATAAAGTTAAATTTTAAAAAATTATTTAATGCTTTTCACTCTGTATGTGCTTTTTTAAGATCAAAATGATCATTAACTCAATTGAATTAAAAGTATATATAAAAAAAAAATTATGTATGAAACTTTCAAAACTCAGAGAAACAACAAAATTCAATATCAATGATGTATACATTAGAAAGTAGGGATGCAACGATATTCAGCCACTATTAGATATTCAGCCCTTCGCCGCAGGTTCAGCCAAATATTCGGCAAAGTATTTATTTTAAAAAAAGTGTTTTTTTAATGAGTTTTTTGATTAAAGAATTATTCAAAGTCGTATTTTTTAATATACACTATTAAAAATAGTTTTTACACGTATTTGGTTAGTTCTAGAACTTGCTCACGGCTTGCAAATTTTTGTTCTGGAAGACTAATAGAAGAACGAAATTTGAAGAATTGAAACTAGATTACTTTATACTGGGCCGGTGGGTTTTATACTGTTNAGTTAAATTTTAAAAAATTATTTAATGTTTTTCACTTTGTATGTGCTTTTTTAAGATCAAAATGATCATTAACTCAATTGAATTAAAAGTATAAAAAAAAAAAAAGAATTATGTATGAAACTTTCAAAAATCAGAGAAACAACAAAATTCAATATCAATGATGTATACATTAGAAAGTAGGGGTGCAACGATATTCAGCCACTATTAGATATTCAGCCCTTTGCCGCAGGTTCAGCCAAATATTCGGCAAAGTATTTATTAAAAAAAAGTGTTTTTTGATTAAAGAATTATTCAAAGTCGTATTTTTTAATATACACTATTAAAAATAGTTTTTACACGTATTTGGTTAGTTCTAGAACTTGCTCACGGCTTGCAAATTTTTGTTCTGGAAGACTAATAGAAGAAGGAAATTTGAAGAATTGAAACTAGATTACTTTATACTGGGCCGGTGGGTTTTATACTGTTGATTTTTATTTTATTTTTTTTTTCATTATAGTGAAGCAAGTTAATTTTGACGTTTAATATGTTCTTTTGCCCACTTAACTCGTTTCGGTCAGAAAATCAATGGAAGCAAGTAATCTGGAGCGATGAGAGTAAAATATCGCTCTTTGGTAGAAGTGGTAGAAAATGTTTGAAACTAGAGTAGGTGAAGCACTTCATCCTGATTGCATTAACGCAACTACAAAAAACCCAACAAATGTCATGATTTGGGCATATACACTATTAAAAATAGTTTTTACACGTATTTGGTTAGTTCTAGAACTTGCTCACGGCTTGCAAATTTTTGTTCTGGAAGACAAATAGAAGAACGAAATTTGAAGAATTGAAACTAGATTACTTTATACTGGGCCGGTGGGTTTTATACTGTTGATTTTTTTTTTTTTTTCATTATAGTGAAGCAAGTTAATTTTGACGTTTAATATGTTCTTTTGCCCACTTAACCCGTTTCGGTCAGAAAATCAATGGAAGCAAGTAATCTGGAGCGATGAGAGTAAAATATCGCTCTTTGGTAGTGGTGGTAGAAAATATGTGAGACGTAGAGTAGGTGAAGCACTTCATCCTGATTGCATTAACGCAACTACAAAAAACCCAACAAATGTCATGATTTGGGCATGTATGTCTGCAGATGGTGTGGGCCGAATTCAAGTGATTGATGGCATCCTGAATGCTAAAAAATACATCGAAACTGTCTTGAAACAAAAATTGATACCTTCCATCAGGGATCTCTTCCCTAACAACGCACCATTTATATTTCAGCAGGATTCAGCTTCATGCCACACACCAAAAGTATGCAAAGCATGGTTTCAAAATAAAGGCATAGATATATTACCATGGCCAGGAAACAGCCCTGATCTCAATCCAATTGAAAATTTGTGGCGACGTTTGAAAATTCTTGTACGAAAAAAACGTCCATCCAATAAAAGACAACTTATTGATTCTTGGCACCATGTGACTACGAAAGATTAACTCCAAACACTCGTTCACTCGATGAAAAGACGCTGTGAAGCTGTCTTAGAAAATAAGAGTTATCCTACTAAGTATTGTTTGGGTAAGTATCACTTTAAAAAAATGCAAATCTAAGATAGATCTTACTATTAGTTGCATAACTTTTTTCGTAATACAGATATTGTAATACTGTATTTATTATTAAATTCTACATTAAATTACCTTCAATTTGATACATAAACGTTTGTATTTAAGTGAAAAATAATATATTCTACAAGCACACAAAGTTGAAAAACATGAAAAAAAAAAAAAAAAGAATTCAAATTAAAACTATGAAACAAAAAGAGAAAATGCAAAACAAGAAAATACAGAATAAAACACAAAAAGTAATATATAAAGCGAATTCGAATGTACTTACACGCAACGGCATCTCTAATAAGTTTGCCATATTACAAAATATAAAATAGAAGCATAAATAGAGTTTGAGGAAATTTTTTTATAGAAAACAATGTATATATATATGGCACAATAAAGACAAAAAGAATTTCAAAAAAAGAGAAAAACGCAGAAAACTAAGAAGTTTCATTTACTGCGCATAAGCTACAAGTATATAGAACTCATAAAGTAATTTAGAAATATAGAGAAAAGATGGTAAATAATAAAGATAAATGAAAAGAGAAAAAGAAAAATATATTATTAAAAAAATAATATTTAAAAAATATGTGTTAAGTCAGAGAAGAAATTAATGAAAAGATATAATCTCTTCATCAGCTCACACGATTATATCCGGAAAAAAGAGTGCTTTCTAATAATAATCAATGTAGCCAAAGCAAAATGCATCAATTCAATATTGTGAACTTTATTATTTTCCATGTTTTCCCTATATATTTAACTTATATATAAATATACAGAGAGAGCGATACAAAAATTTTTTTACTGGGTAGATATTGAGCAATTTACAAGAAATTCTGCCTAAACAAATTCCTTTTTCATGATTTTCATTTTCTATCGGAAAGAAAAATATGAAATAAAATTTCGTAAGAAATTTTTATATTTCATTTCAAACAATTAGTATGATTTTCTAGTGGTCATCACACTAAAAGTCTTATGTATCTGAACACCAATAAACGGAGGCAATTCCTTTTCACCAAAGTGGTGTCTTACAAAGTGTTCCACTACACCAAAACCAAGAATAGTTCCTAGTGTAGCGAAAAATTTAGAATGTTTATTTACACTAATTGGTGTAAAGTAGCTGCCACCATATTTGTTATTCAGTTA